AACTGGAGATTACCACGAGGAAATGAATGGCGAATCGTTTGAACAGTGGTTTTCAAAAATTTTACCGAACTTAGAGGAAAACGCAGTAATTGTGTTGGATAATGCGCCTTATCATTCTCGAAGAATGGAGAAGGTCCCAACAACGGCTTCAAGGAAAGTTGATGTTCAAAATTGGCTCCGCTCGAAAAATATCAACTTTGAAGAAGCAATGCTAAAAGTACAATTATTAAGAATTGTCAAGGATCACAAGGCGGAATATCAAAAATACGCCATTGACGAAATGGCAGCAAGTCAAAATAAAACTGTGCTCCGTTTACCTCCATACCATTGCGAGCTCAATCCCATTGAGCTCATATGGACAGAGGTTAAAAATTATATAGCTAAGCACAATACAACTTTTAAATTTTGTGACCTCAAAGGACTTTTCAAAGAAGCACTAGAATTAATAACAGCGCAAAAATGGGAAAACTGTATTAAGCACGTGAAAGACAAAGTTGAAAAGAGAATGTGGGAACTGGACAATATTTTAGAGGAACAAGTCGAGCCATTCATTATTGACGTTGGTGCTTCAGGCAGTAGCGATGATGAAAGCTCATCAAGCTCATCTTTCCAATAAAAGATGTCGTTCATCAAATTCGGTAAGTTATAAGTAATTATAAAGCTACTGTATTTTTTAATTAATTATTGACATTTTTGAACCCATTTTGGCAAAACCTATTCAAGAATCTACTTTCTGACAATGTTCAACCATGCACATTTTTTTACGTTTTGAACGTTTTAATTTGGTTACATATTTACCTAGAAATCAAAAAATATACTAATCAATATGCTAAAAGCAATTTTAAGAGATATACGATTATTTTTAATTTAGGCTAATTTAAACGCCATTTTGAGATTATATTCGACTGTATTTCACCAAACATCAGACGGCATCCGAAGCTGGAAATCGAAGCGAAAATTTTGAAACCCTTATGTATATTTACATCATTATATATTTCTTACCCCACCCCCACATGATCCTATATCCATCACCAATCGTATACACATCGAATTGTGCTAATTTACTACAAAGTTACGCAAAGCAGCATCTACTATCTAAAATATGTACTGCGTGACTCTTAGTACGTCCCTGCCGAATGTTACAGCGTTCGATGATCACGTGGTCTTATTTATGTCCGGTCTATCTCTTATCTGAATATACTGTAGATAGAGCAAACCAGAAAAATTAAAGAAAATGCGTTATTCTCGTTTCTCAATATTTTAAGATTCTAAGAGATTTTCTTATCGCCTCCGGACTGAAGACTATTATCGTTTATCGTATCTATTGCCGATATATCTGAAAAGTGGTGAGTGAGTATACTAAGTTGATTGATCAAACAAGAAAATACGTTATTCTTGTTTTAAAGTTCACCCTATGATCCTAACAAACCACACTGTTAACCTACTTTTTGAAAAACTTATCACTTCGGGGCTGAAGTGTATCATTGACATTTGTGAAAAGCAATGAATGCTTTCACTAAATTGAGTAAACTGGTTAAAATGAAGCTCCGTTATTCTCGTATTTGGATACTCCATTTAGCTTTTGGACAGTATGCCGAAAAACTACGTTTTAAATCACTTTTTTTATTAAGCTGGACGTGCTGCTGCAAAATATGTGCCCAACATTTGTGAAAGGCGGCGGATCCGCAAATTCAATTGAGCAAATTGGTAAAATTAAAGATATGACATGCTTGTATCTCAATACCTTTTATGCTTCTGGAAGGCAATACTGAATATTTAAGTTTGAAAGATTTTTTGATCCTAACGTTTCCCAGACTATAAACACGACACTGTTTAATTTAAATTGTAATTCAGGAGAGGCGTTCTAATAAGGTTATTAACGGAAAAGTGGAAAGAAATATTTGAGCCGCAGAATACCAACCAGGAGCTTAAAAATTCGCCTAATTAGCCTTTGGTGATAGTTTTGAAGTTATTTGTGATAAAGAATGTGGTGAAAACGAGTAATCTGTCAAGGATAACAGGATTTTGTAACATTATAGACAATGAGCACATATACGTATTTTTTCAGTTTTTTTCTACGCTATATAAATGCTAAAGGCATGTACTGTTTGCTTAATAGTTTTTGGAAAAACTCAAGGCTAAGAGGGTCTCAAGAGGCTAAAGGGTAAATTACACGAGTGTCGTAGGGACTTACTGCAGTTTGAAGATTAGATGGCAAAAAAGTTGGAATTGGTCATACAGAGTGTTTCAGAACTATAGGATCAAACTTGTAGGGGTTATTTAGGCCCGTATCGTCAGTCGACCCTACAATTGTAGGGCGCGTTTATGGCCTCCCTGATTGTCATACTCCTTTCTCCCCTTCAAAAATTTCTAGATTACACTTGTCCCGTGTCAGCGTTAGCGCTCTCCTATTGTAAAGATTTGTTTTCCTTTTAAATTGTGCAAATTGATGTTTGTGACATAACCTCAAAACAGAGCGCTGACACGGAGAAGTAGAAAACTATGACAATCAAGGAGGCCATAAAGGCGCCCTACAACTGTAGGGACGACTGACGATACGGGCCTTAGTGTAACAGTAGACAAAATTTGAGTATATCCGGAAAAGCTTCACGATGGCGCTAAGAAGCGTTAAAATTTAGAAAGACGATGAATTGCCTAAATAGGATGTAATGCATTTAATTTTTGCCTTCATCACAACAATTGTTCAAAATTTCTTCCTACAACCTGAATACACCGTTCCTGTGAGGACATGTAAAGTCTTTTATTTACGAAACTCCAGTAGAAACAGAGCAAGACTTAATTGGACGAATTACAGCAGCATTTGAAATCATTCAAAACGAGTATCAAATGTTTAGTCATGTCCGCCGAAATCATGTGTGACGTTTAGATCGGTGTATTTAGGTTGGAGGAAGACATTTTGAACAATTATTGTTGTGATGATATCATGTACAAAAGGCATACATTAAATGCATTAAATCCTATTTAGGCATTTCATCGTCTTTCTAAACTTTAACCCGTCTTAGGGCCGTAGTGCCGTAGTGACACTTTTCCGGATACGGTTCCCTATACTCAAACGTTTTCTACTGTTACACTGAATAACCCCTAGAAGTTTGATCTCTTAGTTCTAAAACACCCTGTATCATAACCTGGCAGTTTGTATGATGGGGGTGCCTGCACGAAAGGGTAGAAAATCAAACAAAATAAAATCTAATTAAGCATGTCAGGCATTCAGAGAGGTTGTTGTTGATTTCCGTTCCATTCCAAAAGTGCTGCACCAACAGCTGTAATAACATTATCAAAATGAGAAGCAGCGCGAAATTCAAAATCGGAAGTAAATATTTCAGAAACACAAACAATATGTAGACTATCGAATACTAAACATCCTTCTTCCAAGCCTACCAGTTTGCAGAAATAACTTTTAACCGACCAAAAACGCTTTCGTCCGTCCGACAAACAAAAAGCCAACCGTCTACGGTGGTACATGCTTATCGGCAATTATCGGCATGGTCTAGGCTCCGTCTCTAGGTAGGACAATGAATGAAAGCAGAGAAAAGTGCCACCTCTGCGAGAGTGAATATTAACTACCTGCTGGAACTGTAAAAGTATGTCAATTTTCGTGGAAAGCCGACTCACCACTGGTATCGATTGATGCCGTCGATTATGGCGATAGACCGTTGGAAGTACTCGCCATTGAAAATTAATAATACTGATTGTGCGATCGCTGTTTGAATAGACCCTATACGACAGATAGAGAATACTCTGCCGCGATCAAATCTAGCCTAGACGTTGCTGAAGGTTGCCATTAAGCATGAAACAGCTGTAGTATGGCGCGAACACGCTGTATAAATATTGTTATCAGAAACTGTAAGCAAATGATCGGGAGTTCAAGTTCAATGTAGGTCACAGGAAATACTGCGATAACTACCTTGCAATACCTAGCAACAAAGGTTGAATAAAATAAAGTTAACCATAAATGAATTGAAGTGTTTTACTATGGAAGTAATAGCCCAAGGTTATAAGTTACTACACTGCTAGGGTTGGCTGAGATACCTTTAGATGCAGATACAGCCTTGCTGTGTCCAATTCTGGTAATGCGAGGGTCATATTTTAAGTAATAACCGTTTGGTAATGGAATTATTATTTATAAATGTAAATAGTAGCACAAACAATAATTTGACATTTTTTTTTCGTCTTTCAACATAGTCACTGTTACCATTTAAACATTTGTCAAGTCATGGTACTCGCTTTTAGATCCAGTCGTCAAAGAACGCAAGAACATCCAGTTTGAAACTTTTTTCAACATGCCATTATTTTCCAAGCGCAATCCACCAAGAAGCCCCTTAAGTGTTGGAAAAAGATGAAAGTCTGATGCCGCCAAGTAACGTGGAAGACTCAGTAATTCCCAAAGAAACTTGTCCAATTGCATCTCTGTTCTTGGCGCGACATGAGGCCGAGCATTGTCGTGATGCAGAACGAGGTGCCACCGGCAGTTTTGAAAACCGCGCCTAATTCAACAAGCTGCTGGTGAAATTCAGCAGGAGGGACTTTTTGCATTTAAAAATCGGATTACTGAGCGCACTTAACAATCGACGGGCTTACTGTTTGACATGGCGATAAACAAAGCAATATAACAACCCAACCAACACCGGCAGAGACGTGAAACATAATGACGGCATAGTAAGAGACTGGCCAAAAGTGTCTGAGGTTGAACGGACGTCACGTAACAGGATGCGCGGGCACGATGCGCAGTCGGCTGACTTGACCCTCGTAGATAGCACTTGAGCCCTCGTGTTGGGATCACTGTTGGATAAATATTTGGAATGTGGGGCATCCTGTGGAGCGGACTAAAAAGCTTTCTGTGTCTAGGTAGTCCCGAAAAATCTTCCATTGTTGGTAGAACTGGACTGATACTTTTTTCTCGCGTCCACTTGAAAAGATCAGCTCCCAAAAACGACTGGTTGGAAAGGTGCATGCTGCATATCATGAACTTTGCTACTCACCAGGTTCTAGTCGACAGTGATCGTTTGTACGGTTTGTGTCTCAGCGTGTGCCGTGGCTGCTCTCTTACAGTACTTCGTGTAGACTGTACACGCGGATTCCTGGTGTTTATTCAAGTACGACTTGAGGGCGAACGTCTTCTTGCACTTCGAACAGCTGTAGTTTTTGTCTGTTGAATGCGTCTGCATATGTGCGCGAAGGTTCGATCTGGAAGGAAGTAAAGTTACCGATTAGTTTCAATCCATGTTGCTAAGTGGAGTAGCCCAAGCTGTATCCAGTAAGGAACTACAAAGACTCCCGACCGTAGACTCTTAAACAAAAACTTTTCAACAGAAACTATTAATGAATGGGTTATTATAAATTGTGTATCAATGAGAGCGCCGGATTTGATTTTCAAGGCTAACACAATTTTTTTTCGAATTAAGCGAGTATCTTTATTTCAACATGAAGAGCAATAGTTGCTATTAAACATGAAATGGCCACTACGAAACCTCTGGCACAGGGTGAGTTTTTTCTCAAAATTCTGAATAACGTTTTCGCACAACGGTGGCTCTATTTCGTGATCGCCAAACCGAGAGATGACACGGTCCGGACCGAAAATTGTATGTAATTTTCTCCATTTTTGTAGTGTTTTCACAATAATTAAACGTTGCTCGTTTGGATGCTGCTTCATAACGCCTAATCACGTGGTCTGGAAATGACAGCTGTCATCAAGTAAGCACCATACCATTTGTACAAAAAAATGGCGGCAAATTCAAATCCAACGCTCTTGTTGAGACACCCTTTATATGATATCTGAGAATAGATTTCCGAAATATTCACAATTTTGACCCACATATCAAAAATGATTCTTTTTAATGGAATCCCGTACTTTTTATTACATATTCAGATAGTTGCTTTTAAAGAAGAAGTTTGATGAATCATACTTATGTGTTTGGGTATTAGTGGATATTTTATATGAAAAACGAAGTTAACAACCTGGATACCTGCTATCTTGATAGGTGGAATTATGATTTATAGGTCAGTTTTATTCAATTGTACTCCATTATAACTTAATTCATCCGTCTTTTGAATTTACCGGAATTCAGAACTGTCAAAATATATGAAGTCCATTTGATTTTCTCGTTAAAAAGTACATTTTGCATATATGCCACTCAAAAAGTTTAAAAAGTAGATGAATTGACTTAAAATTCAGTATAGTAAAAATTCTTTGACACAAAAACAATACTCTATCGGTCAAGACAGGAGAACATGGGTATTATTTCAGATAACATACCCAATATCACCACAATTAATGACCTGAACCTATAAATATGTTTCATCAGTCTTTATAATTTAAAAGGGCCTTTCCTAATATGTAATAAAAAGAATGATATTCTATTTAAAAAAGCAGCTCTGATATGTGGGTCAAAATTGGGACATCCTATATAATTGTGAATATTTTATAAATGCGCAACCCGGTACCACATATATAAAGATATTTACAAGAATTGCAAAACAACCGCTAGCTTAAGAAGTTCTTTCATATTTATACTTTTTTTTGTTTTTCATTAGTTATTTTTCCGTTTCTTCATAACCTATTATCTCTTCTTCTTTTTATAGCTAAATTGGCACAAATAGTCCTATTATAATGTAACCTAATATCTCTTCTTCTTTTTATAGCTAAATTGGCATAAATAGTCCTATTATACTGTGACTTAGTCTTTGTAGTTTCACATTTTTTTTTTGTTTTTGTATAACTTGTTTTTTTATCACTTTTGTACGGGGTTAGATGGTGGAATAGCAGGTGCTAAATCTCGCCCCATGTAATGTACCATGTTTTGGTCAATAAAGACGATTATTATTATTATTATTATATAATAATTCAGGAATAGTTCCTTTTCGGGAGTTTTTTCTTAAGAGTAATACTCCGCCCTCGTCCGGTTGGGACTCTCTGTATACATTCGTACAAAGTACTTTTAGCTTTCATTGAAGGACTTTTGAACGTGGGCGTTTTTAATAAGAATTTCCGGCGAAAATTTTTTTGGATACAATATGCACGTACCTATCAGCAAACGCTTTCCCGCAATGCGCGCAGCCGTACGGTTTCTCCCCGGTATGTGACCTTAGATGACCTTGAAGCAGCCACGGCCTTGAGAACTGCTTCCCGCATATTTCGCATCCATGGGCCAGCTTGTGTGTGAGCAGATGCATTGCAAGTGCCGGCATGCTGACGTACGCCTTACCGCACGTGTTACATTTTTTGGCCGCCTGTAAAAGGTAAAACTTATGTTCATCCAACTTTTATATGACCAAACTAAGCATCGTAAAACAGGAGGAAAACAGATTTGATACATCTGTGCCGCCACAACTTTTTAGATGCAATTTCCTGGTTTTATGCCAGACACTCAGTAAACATGGCCGTAAATTATATTTCCAAGGCAGCCTTTGTACGATCTTAAAATCATGCTGCTTTGTAAATAACATAAATTGTAGATAGTTCTCACCTGCGAATCAAGACTGCGATGCGTCTGTTTGTGCCTAGACAGGTTACTTGAAGTAGCGTACTGTTTCCCACATTCAGTACAGATGTACCGGTTTTTCAAGGAATCTTCTATACCCTCGACATCGATCTCTTCTTCTTGGTCTTCTTCTACTACTTTGTAGAATTTCTAGAAAGAAATTTATACATTAGAATTTATTTGGTTGTGACATATGCACTGTGGAAATTGTCCTCAACCAGATCTCCCCATCCTCTAAAACTGCATTATTGCCGAGTGTAAATAGTAGCTTAGGTATCTGTCACGCCGTCGTGGAGCGCTCGCACTCCGCGTAATAATAACACTGATTAACAGCCAAAAAATATCCTAAATAAAATCAACAAAATATTACTATTTTTAATGTGCTAAAACCGGAATGAAACTTTTTCAATATTAGTTCAAGTTTTAGAGATACGGTAATTATATGTGTTCCTGCTGTAACAGTGTTAATATACTGTAATTCACAAGAATGCACGTGCTACATTTTTATATTCGGCAAGGAAAGATGATGTAATCGGCATGACTGTGTTACGTTATACATACGTGTACATTATATTGTTTTATATTAGCCATTTTTTCCTCAGTTGGCTGACAGCGTTCATGCCAGATGTCTCGAAAGTGTGTAAACAATCCAGATCAGTTTTGTTACGTGTGTGGTGATGTGACTTTTGCGTCACAGAGACGGTCTATTACTCCAATAATAACAAAGGCATATCAGCTTGATTTCGGTTGTAAACTAGGTGATCAAGACAAACAGTGGGCACCCCACAACTGCTGTAATACATGTGCTTCAAGTCTGAGAAGCTGGTTAAATGGCAAAAAACGGTCTATGCGCTTTGCTGTCCCAATGGTGTGGAGAGAGCCTACAAATCATATTAATGATTTTTACTTTTGCATGGTACCTTGTGTTGGACAAGCCACAGGTATGTCCAAGGAAAAAAATCGGTTATTAACTACCCAAACATACCATTTGCGATGAGACCTGTGCCTCACAGTGACGAAAATCCTATTCCAAAACCCCCAGAATCCCACACTTGCGAATCATAAAACGAATCAGATCATGGCGATCGAGTGATTCGTCACGAAGAAGATATGCCATCAACGTCAAGAGATCCTGATTTTATACCGAGCACGTCATGCCACCAACCGCACAAAATAACACAGTCAGAATTAAATGATCTTGTAAGAGATTTAGAACTTCCAAAATGTAAGGCACAAAGACTTAGAACCATTTTTCAATATGGAGAATAACTTGGTTTTCTGCAGTAACATTAACGGCTTACTGGCGGCTTTAAATATAAACTATAACCCAGAAGAATGGAGATTGACTATAGACAGTTCAACATTGAGTTTAAAGGCAGTGTTATTGCATATTGGAAATATTTTACCATCTCTTCCTGTAGGGTATGTAGTTCACATGAAAGAATCATATGACAATATGAAGTACCTATTGACATGCATAAAATACGATGAGCACCAATGGCATATTTGTGGCGATTTGAAAGTTGTTGAACTTTTACTTGGGCTGCAGCTAGGCTACACAAAGTTATGCTGTTTTTTGTGTGAATGGGACAGTCGGCAAAGGCACTTCATTAAACCAGACAAAACTGGCCTGTTCGTCAATTCCTAGAGCCAGGTCAAAAAAATGTACAGCATATGCCATTAGTAGATTCGAAAAAAATTTTATTACCACCACTGCATATCAAGTTGGGCCTAATGAAAAACTTTGTCAAGGCATTAGATAGAGATGGGTACGCTTTTCAATACCTGCGTCAGAAATTTCCAAGACTAAGTGAGGCAAAGGTTAAAGAAGGTATTTTTGTTGGGCCACAGATTCGAAATATTTTGAAAGATACACAGTTTGAAAACACTTTAACAGGTATTGGAAAAACTGCTTGGAATGATTTCCGTCTGGTGGTCAATAATTTCTTGGGAAATAGAAAAGCTGACAACTATAAAACCCTTGTCAAAAATATGCTGTCATCGTATCAAAAGATGGGCTGTAATATGTCTCTTAAGATACATTTCCTACACTCACACCTGGACTTTTTTCCTGACAATTGCGGAGCCGTAAGTGATGAGCACGGCGAACGTTTTCATCAGGATATTTCAACAATGGAAAAAGGGTACCAGGCAAAGTGGAATCCTCCCATGCTTGCAGACTACTGTTGGACTCTTGGTAGAGATGCTCCAGAAACGATCCATAAAAGAACAGCAAAAAGACAGCGCATATAGTGATTCTTATAAGTATATGAATCTTGTTACTTTTTCTAATATATCCTTAAAAATAAAAAGTTTTTTTTCTAAACAGCAACTAATTTTTTTATTTCATTGTCAGTTTTGGATTCAGCGCCCCAAAATTAACAAAGAAGTGCACTTTTCCCACAAGATACAATTAAAAAACTAAAATTTGTTGTCCAGTGTAATTTGCTTATCAATTTGATGGTGTGCAGTGCTAAAATTTCAATAATTATTCCTAGGTATTTGCAAGTACATATTTGCTTAAATGGCCAGATTTTAGTATCTCTACCTCATAAAATTGGCTCGTTTTGATGTTTGATTTAAATTTTATTACAAGTTTTTGGTTTTAATCATGCAAATCGGACCTCTCTCTCAGTTGCCTAAGTCAGTGGTCGCCCTACTTTCTCACTGTGTTGAGCTACTTTGATAATTTTAGAATAAACAGTGAGCTACCTAGTTTTTAGAGATGTAAGCTAACTTAAATGAAATTATACACAGTTGTATGCGACATACATACGTTTTTTTACTAATACTGATACATACTACAAATCTGCATCCATTCCTACCAATCGTAGGTGTTTGAAGAATAAACAAAATTTCTCGCCAATTACGATTTAATAAAGATAAGTGAAAATAAAAAAAAGCAACGCGCTATTTTAAACAAAACAAGCGTTTTCAATGAGAAGCCTCACACTCAGACTCATTGATATTTTTGTTTAATGTTTGGAGTATAATTTGATACCGCCATTGCAATACAATTATCCAAATGTTCATCTGTAAATCGATTACGGTATTTGTTTTTAATAAACTTCATATTTGAAAAAGAAGATTCACACAAATAGGTTGAACTAAATAACGCATTCACTTTCAAGGCAACACGACATAAAACTTAATATTTATCTTTACTTACTAAAGGCCAGATGCATTTTGTACTTGAGACTAATGATTTTAAAGTTAAATTATTTTGAAACGCAATCACTGCCAGCTCTGTCGCAGAGATGTCTTCGCTAACATTCTGCGTAACAGAAGTTGCAAACTGTTGGATATCAGTTTCCATGAAGGGGAAACAACAAATTGCGCCACTATAGCAATTTCGTTGAAACTCTTGAAACGATTTTTGAAGTGATCCTTCAAGCTAGAGACTATTTCTATATGATATTAGGCCAACTTTAACTCAACCCCTGGACTTTGTGCCATCCAGTTTTCAACTGAGCGCACTGTCGTCATGCCCTGCGTATTTATTCCATTCAAAGTAATCGAGATCGTTCTCGAACAGATCGCTCACCGCAGTGTTACCGCTGCTTGTGTTTATTATGATACTTTACAAAATTTACGGAAGGTTTCAATTGCCTTTGTGAGCTACCGCTACCTCGAGATCGACAGGTTGGCCTAAGTCTAGTATACGCTATTTTTTTAAAATTCTCTCCAGAATAATAGGAGAAGTTGATGCAAGAAACTCTAGCCCTTCTGGCATGGCTAAGGTTATTGATGCCTTTTGAAATAAGAACACGGGGCGGAATAAAACATGGAGTGGAAAGAAGTGTACGTCTACAATTTACTTCGCTAATGAGCTGAAAACGGTGTACATATTTCAAATATATTCTATACCCTTGGCAAGCAATAAAATTGCAATTTCTTTGTTTTGCAACCTTTTTTAAATCAGGCGTATGTAAGGCTTTAACAATTATTTATTCATAATAATTTCAACTGTAATTCATTAAAGTGAAAATAGATCATGCTTAACATGACATGAATTGAATGTCACATGCTTTAGAACCTAGTATTAGTGTAATTAATTTAGGTTTTAGATCTCTATATAAATGTGAAAGTCTGTCCAGTCTCTCGGCAGCCGTGTTAAGTAACCTGAAAAGTGACATATTGATTTAAATTCTAAAAAAATGTCACCCTCGATATCATTCACTTCATGTACTAGGTGTGCGTGTTGCCTAAGCGTCAGGACACTTGATCCATATGGTTTGACTCTAATGTGAAGTATCATCTGCTTCAGAGATGACACCAGCGATGGCCGCTTTTAGTTTCTATGGCTTAAGCTGTACATTTTATACTATTTGTATAGGTCGTTGCTTCTACCCTCCATTGGTGGCGATCACAGCGGACCTACCAACTAGCTGGTATAAAAGTTGATATTATATCGACTCTTTACGTTTACGTAATACCCCTGCCGATCACATTTTGTATCTTTGATGACATTTCTAAATTGACAGCATGCATGCTAGGGAAATCTGGTCACTTTATTGGTGGCGCCTCGTTCCGCGGGACACAAGGCTAGTCACTAAGGGACCCATTTTGAGCATTCTTCTACTCGTATGAAATAGATCAAGGCTTTCCTTGCAGTTTCAGAGGAGGTTCGCTTTGATTTATCCAGACCCTTTGAATATCATAACTCTCAAAGAATGCTCACCACTCTTGAAGCAGTATTGAACTCTGACGAGCTAACATCCACATCATCTGAGCTGCTCTTGGACCTGGATTTTCCTCTGTTTTTCCTTTTTCGTCTATCCGGAATCTCTAGATGTGAGGTGGCAACCACGTCGACCTTCTGAATGATGTCTTGATTGGTTTGGATGTCCGGTTCAGGCGAAAGTGGCAAGATGATTATGTCATCACTAGAGCTTGCTAACCTTTCCACATTACAGACCTGTAATAATATCATAACAGAATTTTCCTAGACGATACATGCCAAGTTTATTTAAAAGAAATGTTTAGTTTTGGTTACTGCAGCAGACGATGGATATATTGTGTCAGTTTACATTTTTACGGGGTGCTCTAGAAATGCCATAAAATCGGAAAGCCGTTAGTTAAAGACAAAGTCGGATCTGAGCAATAGCTTTCAAACGTTTGTTTGCTAACCTATCAATGGAAAAGGTTAAATTACTGCTTTCGGTCACAATTAGTATTATAAACGTTAATGAACCTTGTTTGCCTGCATATAACAAAATATATGGCTGAACTATAACACATAACGCAAATATTTCATTTCTTATTTTAAAATGAAATATTAGGATGTAACTGGTACGAAAATATCATTTCTTCTTTAAGGAACCATGTGCTTGATATTTTATAGAACTTCAAAGTTGCATTTTGGGTGGTAATACTGTGGTATAGAATACTGCGTTATAAGCGAGTTTTTTCTTGTTTATACAAAAGATTGCTCAGAATTACATGAATATAAATAACATACACTGTATATTACTGTAACAATGTTCATCGCAATAATGCAATTTTGCATTATTTTAATGATGAAAATAGATTATTGTTAAGTAGTTATTTCATCTATTTCAGATAAATATTCCCATCACTGCACCACCATCACTATCATAATGTCTCCATCTAGTTGCGATGTTGCCAAATCATGATAGTAATATACCTTGATTTGGTTTGTCTTATATACTAGCGCAAAAATGTGCAATCGGCACAGGATTGCCATGAAAATGCGATTTGGAGGTGTGGCCGGCAGGTTTTACTGTACTAAATCTACTTCGTGCCCTAGGATAGTGCTAGCCACAAAACGTTAGCTAAATACACTTTTTTGAAGAATGCCCTAGGCCGTTCACAAGAATACTTCGGTTATTATTTTTCCTATATTATAGTTATAATTTAGTTACTTTTTGTATGTATGTTGTAGAATAATTTGAAGTGAAGCTGATGTCACAAAATATACCTAATTGAATGTGATATATATGAGAAATTACTGAAAAAGTAGCTGCTGTCAGTCACTAAATAATGAAAACATAACAAAGAACGCATTTGTTTTGATGAGATGGTCGTTGAACTTTATTTAACTATAATGTTGGACGATGATATGTTGGGTGGACCTGGCGACGTGGTCCAAATCGACAAATCGAAGTTATATGTAATGATCGCTGGCGCCTTTTGTCTTTTTCATGTCACGCCAGCCGCTGGTGCATTTTCCACTGCTTAGACACATGCTGTTCAAAATTTCATCTAATTTTCAATAAACATTGGGACTACTTTTTATAAAACAAGTCATTTACAATAAATTTTCAAATAACCCCATTTCTTTATTACGTATTTCTCCCCAAAAACGTACAACTTGGCAACAATGGACATCGTTCATCTTATCTGTCTAAAAAAATGCTATAAAATGGTCATTGAGAATTGTTTGCACTTTCAAATATTTCTTATAAACGAAAAAAATTTTATCTCATTGGGTATACGCGAAAAACAAAATTATTAAGGAATTTCAAGAAGACATTGAAAAATCACAACACTAAGCCTCTACACAGTTTACCAAACAAATACCATCATTTAGGTATGCATTCTGAACTGTTATTTAAACTTATTACATGACTAGTTTTGAACTTCTTTTGCAAAAAAACAACAACTATTTTTTATAGTTTTACCATATATCTATTTTCCTTAAGAAATGATCATTCCTAGTGATTTTTTCGATTTTTTCCGAAAAAAAAAACAGAATTCCGACCTTTATGCGCTGAAGTGTATATTTAAGGTATGTATTTGGAACTGTCATTTTTAGCTTATTATATGGCTAGTTTTTAACCTTTTTCTATAAAAAACCAACCATTTCTTACAGTGTAAGTTATATTCCTATAGTTTACAAAAAGCAAAAACAAACAGCGTATAAAACAGTATTCTATTCTAGAGTATTACCACCTTAAAAGTTCTATAAAATAGCAAGCAGAGGGTTCCTTAAAGAAAAAATGATGTTTTCGTAAAATCTACATAATAACCTGTCATATTAAAATAAGAAATAAAATATACGCGATATGCGTTAAAGTATAGTCTTATCAAAGATATTTGTTAAATGACGTATCTGAACAGATAACAAATTTTTTGATATACAGAATATCACTCTAGATGCACGCCTCTACCGCCTGCCTGTGACTGATGGCTGTCCGGACTGTTATTCTAGAAAGTATCTTCGCATCTGCATGGAAAAATCAGATTTGATTTTATTACAGAATCGTATTCAGAGAGGAGCCACTTCAACCAATCTGAATGATATTCCAGACGTATTTCGCTTAGGTCATTTCCACCGAAAATGGTTCTTATGAACTATTCACTAAAGTTGGTAGTAGTTTCTGAGATATACGCGGTTGAATATTTGAAAATGTGCGAAATAGGCCATACTATTTAAAAAATGCGAAACATGCCGCTTGCATAATAATTGACAGACAAAGGTTTGCAATCACAACACACTAAGCTGTTTTGAGATTTTATTAATCGAAGTTAAGCAGTGTTTATGAATTTTGGCAACAATAAAGTTTTAGTTTTTAAATATTGTTATTTAGAGTCGAAAATACTATCGTACTTCGCACTCATTCAAATATTAAATTGCTTATGTATCAAAAACTATCAACTTTAGAGAAAATTTCATAAACACCTCATTCGTTCAAAAATGAATAAAAAATCTAAAGGAACTTTTTTGGTGCGAAAAAATACAATTTTTGGAATTTGTTCTAAAAATACGTTCAACCAATTTTTAAGGCAATTTTGGGACTTACAAAATGCAGATTCGTTGGAGAAAGTCTAGTTTGAATACGAGTATGCAAAAGTGAACCAGAAATTTTTTTCGAGCGGGTGCGATGACACTGCCTGGACTATCTAGCCAACAGGTAAACCTTCTGTCTCGCCGACTTATTTACAGCCTAGGAAAGTTATATTAATTATCTACTATGTTCATATAAAACGGGCTCCAAATTTTTTTTTGGTCCAGACAAAGTTTGCCTACGTCATTTGCAACAAAAAAGCTTGCTTTGAACTTTTCTCGAAAGTTGGTAGTTTTCAAGATATACGCTACTTAATGCTTGAAAAGGTCAAAAATATGTCATAATATTTGAAAAGTGCAAAATATACCGCTTGAATTATTATTAAAAGACAAAGGTTTGCAATCAAAATGCTTTGAGACTTTGGTGATTATTATCTTTGGCATCAACAAAATTCTACCCCAAGGAACCTATCTTGGTGCAACAATCTTTAGAATGTGTTCAAAACATGTTTTCAACCAATTTTGACGCAATTTTGGGACTTGCAGAATGCAAATTCATTGAAAGAAGTCCATTTTACGGCATGAAATAGACAGAACTGGAATATTTTTCCAAGCGGAAGCTGAGACAGTTTCTGCTCTATGTGGCCCACAGGCAAACCGACTTATTTATAGCCCAGGACAGTTATTCACTATGATCACGCCCTAAACTAAGTTCGTCTAGGTCATTTTCAACGGAAAAGGTACCTCTGAAATTTTCTTTAAAGTTGCTAGTTTTCAAGATATACCCGATTTAATGTTTGAAAAGGTGCAGAATATGTCATAATATTTGAAAATGCGCAAAATATTTCGCTTGAATTATTATTACAAAACAAAGGTTTGCATTCACAACATACCCTAAAGTGCTTTGAGACTTTGGTGATCGATGTTAAGCAATATTTATGAACTTTGGCATCAACAAAATTTTAGTTTTCACATGTTGTTTTTCAGTGTCGAAATAGCGTACTTTATACTCTTTTAAATATTAAATCGCGGGTATATCAAATGTCATCAACCTTAGAAAAAGGTTCGTAAGGACCTCATTTGTTCAGAATGTCTAAAAAACCTAAAGGAACTTATTTTGGTGCAACAATCTTTCGACTTTGTTCAAAACGTGTTCAACCAATTTTTGACGCAATTTTGGGGCTTGCAGATTCATTTAAAGAAGTCCATTTTACGGCATGCAATAAATTGAACCAGAATATTTTTCCAAGCGGAAGCTGAGACAGTTTCTGGTCTATGTGGCCGGCAGGCAAACCGACTTACTTATAGTCCAGGAGAGTTATATTAATTTTTCACAATGCCCATCTAAAAAACGGGTTATACATTCCATGCGCCCAAAATAGTGCTCTCTAGGTTGATGCGCTTTACCCACATCATCATCATTTGAAAAAGTGTAAATGTCGATTAAGTGTGATTTTTTTTATACTCCAACTACCACGAAGGCCTAAGGCCTAAACACCCATTGAGCACCGTGGGGCTACAGGGGGATTCAGGGGAAAGATAGATCTCCTATTTCCAGTAGTCATAGCAGTGCCCTGTGATCCTTTACTACTACTAACTAGTCCGAAAGTCACCTTAGTCTTTATTTTCTGATACTGAATAGAAAAAGAAATGTCACTTGTGACCTACCTGCAGGTTCTCAGCATCACTAGAGCACTCGGATGTGGGAGGTGTAGGTACGGTAGCTGGCATTTGGACCACGTATACGATAGGTGGCGTATAACAGGGCATCACCACTTGAGAGTTTTGGACGATCACAGTTGGCTGTTGCTGTACTGGGGGAGGTGGAGGAGGCGGTGAAGGAGTAGGGGCAGGGGCAGGGGTAGTAGTGGTAGGGGTGGGTGTTTTAGCCGGCTGGTGTGCTGATTTTGTCCTTCCAGAGGTTCGCCGAGTGCTGAAAATAAGAAATATAGTCGAGTCAGGCATTCTTGTAGTGGCACGGTGAACGCAATATGTTTGTATGGAGTATCAGATCTCTGGATTGGAGTCAAAGTCACGAAGTCTCTTGAGGGAAATTGGAGGTGCCGCAATGCATTTTTGCAAAGAGCCACTGAAAATTACATGCCTTAAAGTCTCTCTCAAGACTTTGAAGTCTTTTGGCAAACCTTTATTTAAACTTGCTTGTTAGTTTGTATCAAATCTTGGAGCACTATCAAGTATATACGTATGCATCGTCACTAATCGTAGTCCAATATGACAGACATTGCAGAATGGCGATTTGACATTTTCATAATTATTCCTATGATAAGGATATCAAATAAAATGGTTTGAGGTGCAGGATACAATAAGCATAATAATGTAATTCTGAATCCTATTTGGGGACGTCTCAAAATATTGATTTATCATTTCCACGATAAACTTCATTATGTGTGCATTAAACAATTTGCGGAATGCGACAAACTGAGTGATGACACTTTGGATAGAATAAGGCGTACAAAATGAATTAATTACTGCTATTTTGAGCCCAATATGGTAAAAACGGCTTAACATGAATAAAATAATAATCATAATTATAATAATAATACAATTATGTCATTGTTAAATAGCCGTAGACTATAACAAATCAAAAGTCAAAAACAATACAACACAGATTAAAACACAGTTTTACATGCAAAGATCTCTTTCAGGCTATAAAAATACTCAGTTAGAAATAATTTCAACTAACTTTTGAAACTGCTTAACCATGGTGCTTTTTGAATATTTTTTTTGAACTATTGCCATGTAACTCAAAGATTTCTAATATGCTGCAGTACGATGTTGATGGGGTATCAGCAGATCTTTCGATCCAGTTTGATAATCGTGTTATTCGTCGTCATTGAAGAGTTTCAAGTTATTTTTATACACAAATATAGATCATTCATAAATCTAAATACAGGCTACTGTTAAAATTCTCAAGGATAGAAAATAATGCCTGTAACATTCACGCCAATTAAAATTTGAAATGATTCTAGTGACATTTTCCTGGAGAAGAAATCTATCGATGAGCTACATCCCCAGCTTAAAATACCGTAGCGCACTTGCGCGTTACAGCTAAAGCTTAAATAGTATAGAGTAAGTGAAACTGGCGTACTACAGTGATTTGATAAAAATTTTATACCATAAGTACTGGTACTTAATTTAAACTAAGGTGATCCTTTAGGCAGTGTGGTGGAAACTTCACAATATCGAGTCACTATAGTAATCCCCTCCCTATAAATATGAGTGAAATGAAATAGTTTAGTGATCACATAACGGTGAACGGGACCTCGCTTTGGCATAAATGAAAAGGCTAATACGTAGTGACTAACAGAAGTTTTGGAAGGTTGCTGAGCTAATGTACTGAAACGAATAATATAGCTTTTGTTTTATGAGACAAGCTTTTAGAAAAGCTTTAAATTAATAAAATATAAATCATACCTAGTATTAAAGACATTTAATTTATTATTACGGAAATTTGTTACCTATCCTGAACTATAACCTATATTTTTTACTTTAGTACATTGACTCAACTATTTTTTTTTTGAAACATGTTTGTTCAATTTTGTCTTCAAATAATAATAATCATTGTATTTATTCAGTTTTTTTCACATAATAATAGTTTGCAGTTAAAACAATCTGAACATATACAGCGAGCTCACAGAAGGCAGAGCCTTGTGCGTGCGCATAAACGCTTAAGAAACAGTATTTCAAAAACAGAAGAATACTACAGAAAAATCCTTAACAGTAGCCACCCAATTTATATTTAAAATACGTAAAATCCAAGACCAAATAATTATGAACTGAAGAACGCAATAGCCTTTTTTTGTTCATAATAAAACTCAATCAAACGCTTACTGAGCATTGAACACTACACTTGCCCAAACAACAAAACTAGGAAGAACTTAGAAATTACAGCGTATAAAAAATATTTATAGAGGTAATGATACATCCGAACAATATAATTTATTATTATGTTCCGTCCTCGTCGAAGTAAATATTTAGAATACATATCGTAGTACCCTCTTAGTAGTACCCAACCGCCATGTGTATTCTAAATATTAACTTCGACGAAGACTTCACATAATTAAGATCGAACATCACAGGTAAGTTCGTTTGATCATGTAATTAAATTTATTAGAGAGTTCTTACGGCACATTTTTAGCCGCTTTATAAAATGTGCAACAACTCCAAGATACAATCTACCGTAAGGCCAATGCCACACGATCATTCACTGTGGTCTGCCAGTATTTATCATGGAATGTGATATTCTTTGACCTTGTAGCCAAGACGTCACTAGTTATTGATGTATTATAAAAATTCACCAATTGTGATGGAATCATCAGTAAATATTGATGATACGGAACACCGTAAGAAATGATCGTCTGACATCCGCCTTGAGACCCGGTACGAGATATAAGAGTTGTGAATTCGAATCCCACTTTCATCAGATGTGCCTACTGTGTGCGTTTTCCAATCCGAGTCAATTTTGAGACTGTTAGAGATCATTTTGGAGATTATCTTTACCTGACGGGGGCCGTAGTTTCAGGTGAAAGCGGCCTATAGCAGTGCGTGGGACTTGGTGGATCATCTTCTGAGGGCACCGTATGGTGAATCATCACGACACTAGGGGCAGGCAGGGGCGGCAGACTCTGCGACAGCGATAGCAGGTCGTGTGCAGCTTCTGTTTCAGCGGCGGTTCGCTTGCTGTCAACCGCTTGGACATCGCCGTTGCTTGGGGATGCACTCGCTGAAGCATTGAGGATGAAGTCGGGAGAAAGGGCTGAAACAAAGAAGATACTATTAGACGCTTTATATACAAGGGGTTTCGTCATATTACATGGCAACGTTCTTTCAAAAATATCTTTAGTAAACAATTCTTGATAGTAATGCAACATCAAGACATATGTGTATTCTCTAAGAAAAAAAATTTGGCAGTTAACTTAATGAAATATTTCTCAAGATATCTGTAAGAGGATCGAACCATCATAACCTATAAAGATTGCAACCTTCCAACGGAAACTCTATGCTGAGATTCGAAAAAGCGCCGCATAGGGGCACATTAGCATACACAAAAAGGGTGACTGTAGAAAGCTGAACATTTGTTTGATTATATAGGTACAAATATGCAATCAAATGAAATATTCAACTATAATAAATTACAGTCGAAAGGTTTTTTTTGTAGTTTTCCTCGGATCTCGGCTTGCTATAACTTTGAGGTTAACGACTGTCCAGCTATCCCTCCTGTCGAATTGGCAGTTGTTTGATGGAACAGCTCATCAGACATAATGGGGAAAATCATTCCATGATCTGATTGTACGTGTTCTAAAATTGCCCCTTTTGAATGAGTCATCACTGAATAAAAAAACCATCTGTCTGGCTTCTCGATCCAAGCAGATCTTTCGGAAAGAACAGGTACACAGCTCTTTGCTTGAAGGAATAGTCTACGTAAGTTTTCCGTAATATATCTCAAAAATACTTTTAATAATGAATCTATCACAATCTCCTGATCTCATACAACTTACGTGATTTGTATCTCTAGATATTTTTCCATAATCAATATGCTAATTCCGTGAATTGAAGTCCGAGTTTTTAATTAACTATAACCAGTATCAGTTCAATTGAATCTTTGATAGTTTCTCATTTGGCTGACACAGTAACTCAACTAAACAACCCTGTCTTTTCTTTTCTAAAGTGTTGTTTATCTTAGGAAGCTTATAAATGGGTATTTTTCAACTCTCGATAATCAGTTGAGTAATTTTGTAGTTACGTAGTTCAATTCCACTTAACTCCAACCGAGTGTCAGACTTTTACTTGACTGCCTCCAGTCTGACACTCCTGAGAATGAAGTGTCTAGAATAGGGCTAAAAGTAATAATGTCAAGGCTTTTGAAGATTCTTCTTAGTGCCCCGATCATAAAGAAGGGAAAGCTTGTTAGCATAAGGCAGTGAATAGGTAAGTTACATCTTTTTACTTAAACTGCTATTATCTGATAAATTTGATATCCGTCTTATTAGCGGTTTCTGCTACTCCAGCAACAAATTCTTGATAATATGCACCTGAAGTTATTGTTAGAATAACAGCTCGAATTCCTGTATATCCTGATGATGATACTAAGATCGTAATTAGCTAATTTCATGGTGGCGATTTTAGCTGATTAATCAATGTAATTGAATAGTTAGCTCATTGCGTTTCATTAATTTATTATCGCAATAAAGATCAACCCTAACAGTATCTCCTCTGACTCATTTTACGATGAAAATAGCTATAACATATTAACAGTTTCAGTATGCAGGAACGACAAGGCTTGCTCTGAAATACCCGAAGTCGTTCATCGGTTCAATGATTTTTAGATTTTATAAGATTGGTATTGGTAAAGCTTTAAAAACCTATACTTCGAAGTGTCCTTTCAAAACTTTTATCTTGTTTGCATCACTGTCTCAAAAATCGATGTCTAAAACGTGTAAGAATCAGCTTTGCTTCTCACAATCATCAATAAAATCCAACTCGCAAAACACAAGTTGTATGATATTTTCTCTAGTATAATTATTTGTCAAATAGCTATTTTACTTGGAAAAGTAAGGAAGTAATGACGTTTTAAAAATACACAGACACTTTCTAGTCGCTATTGCTTCAATTTACCCGCAAATGCGGCATGACATGATGTATCAGTTTAAAGGTACATTAAAATATACTAGCAGCGACTCTTGAAACTTGTCTAAAACACTCAAGCCAAAGCAGCTACGTAATTGAACAACTAGGAATGAGTCTATGTAGTGTGGAATGAGGTTTGCCGAATACCACACATGCAAATTGTATTCGTTTTTTTAGTTTAGTTTTGGTGAGTGGACCATGGAGGGGAACCATACCAGATAAACAGTCATTATTCTTCTATTTACTGAACAAATAAAACACACAAATCATTAGGTTACACTGTGTTTTATCATATAACCCAATAAATACTGTTATTATTGCGGATTTAGTCATTATTTGAGACTCCGCACAAAACAAATTGAAAATGGGTCCCAGTAGATTTGTCCAAAAATTCAGTATTTCTCACCTTCCTGTACAAAAATATTGATCAGACCAAAGTAATCCTATGATTAGTTTTTAAGAAATAGAGAGATGGTTGGCCCGATTTACATAAACAGTGGATGTGCTTATTGTATTTCTCGAGCTGGGAGAATTGTTATATTGAAGGAAATATGTCATTGAAAAACCATGCTTCTTACAAGGTCAATTCAAGGGCAAGTTCATTTTATAATATAATAATATAACAAATTATAATTGCACAGTTCGCTTCACAAAGGCTCGCTAAAGTCGTGGAGGTTACTTTAGTTATGACCTTTATGAGGTCAGTTGAACCAACAACATCGTGTCCTTCATGTGTAGAAGCATTATTAATCGCGTGTTGGATTCATGAGAAATGCAAATGCAGCACCTGTATTCAAAGATTGCTTTATAGTCTACATCGGCTGCTAAAATAAATGAACCATATAGTCTGGAAGACAGATATATGTCAATATTAACTTAATAACTTAAAAAAATATCTACATATGTTCGCTTTTCCTTTCTTTTTAAAATAACCTTTTTGATTTGACCTTGAAGAGTTCATACTCAAAGACAAGCAATCACTTTTTCGGGTCCTTGCTGAGCGAACTGCCATTTTGAGTGAATTTTTTTTCAGTTCTCAAACAGCTCGTTCCAGTAGTAGGATCACGAGTCTCGATCGCGAATTGGTCGAAAGTAGAGTAGGAATATGTTTACGATAATCAGATTTATTCAACAGGTTTCAAGATTTCCGCTATTTGATAAGTTATTTATCATTCTTTAATGAGAAAGTTGTTTATTTTGCTAAAAGTACGGTGCTTCCACTTGTACGGGAAAGGCTATTAAATATACATAGAATGCAGAAAAATATCACGCTTCTTCTAAAACGAGAACATCTAAGAACACATGAAAATACTCAAAAACTGTAAAGAACCAGTCGTATTTGTTGATTCTCTATTCGATCGATAATCGTTAGCAGATCAATCGACTATTCTTCCATTTAGTCAAGTCGAATAACGTAATCTCTGTACGGATGGATCTATTGCAGCATCAGCATATAAAAATAAAATTGTTTTTAAATTGACCATGTTCAATATCAACATAATACCTCCCAACACGTTTTTATAAGGTTAAGTATAACAATTATCCGAGTATCTGGTCCGAGAGATTCAATCGACATATTTACCATTTCTGTAAATTTCTCAAAAACTAATCATAGAATTGCTTTGGTCCCATGAGAAAGTTTGTTCAGGAACACGATGGAAACATCATCCTTGATTTTTAGTCAAATCGACTTGGAGCCATATTCAGTATGTTTTGTGTATGTTCCTTAACTTTTAGCGCTTTAAAAAGAAATATCTGCTTAAACATAAAATATATAAAAACGTATTTGACTGAAATGAGACTTTCAATACATACAATAATATATTCCGAATTCATAGTACTTGAACAGTATCGTAAAATTAATAATCTATTCCTGAAAATGATGTAAAACGTATTTCTATGAGTATTGTATGATATCAAATAAGCTCCCTTTTCAATAGAATAATGACTGACATCAACAAAGCCTGGCACCGTATTGACAAAATAATGATGCGAGCGGCTCGATGGACGTTACTGTAACAGAAATTTCTTAGAGCATGACAGCAACTAATACTAATAACAGCCTTTATTTAACCTGGCGGGTGTCAGCTAAAAGCTGCTTTTCGAACCAACCAGGACGAAACAAAATTATAATACAAAATTTGGGAAAATATAAACAATCTTGTGTTGAATAACAATAATGAAAAATCTATTATAGCAAGAATAGGCATTTAAAAAAAAACAGATACAGTCACAGATAACAGATACACCATTACATAAGTTAAAAAACTAAATAATATAAGGAATTATGATATATTTTCTAAAACAAATGTTTTTACTTTTGACCTGAAAAGTGGAACAGATAAATCTTTAAAGCTGGCAGGGAGCATATTATAGCGATAAGGTGCAACAAAAGAGAAACTCTTAGTAAATAGGGTGGTTCTATGATAGGGCGTGTTAAGGGTGTAACCAATGAATCGCAGGTTGGCTGCATGATGATATAGGGTATTTGGTCAGTAAAATGCTATGAACCAAGCATAAAATGTGAACCAACCACCTCTGACTCATTGTTAACCAATTCACTTCTTGAATAAATGGAGACACTCGCTCCCTTCTTCGGATTCTAACAGAATATCTAATACAGCTGTTCTGCACTTTCTGAAGTCTGTAAGCTTCGGCTTGAGTCAAACAAGGACCAAACACGGAACTTCCATATTCTATCTTACTTAAAATGACTGAATCGCAAAGCTTAATTTTAGTATCTTGAGACAACACGTGCTAAAAGCTGTAGATGCTTTTTAGTTTAGCAAAAGAGCTCTATACAACCTTAGAAATATGATCATGAAAAGTTAAGTGCTCATCAAAAATTATTCCTAAGTTTAATACCGATATTTTGTGTTTGAGCTCTTCACTATTGAGGCATAGCTTTATAGCATATCCACTGTACTCGTTCTTCTTAGAGCCGAAGGTAATTATGGCCGATTTGCTACAGTTTATGTGTAACCCGTGGTATCTAAACCAATCGCAAATGCCGCTTAAATCAACTGCTAGTTTGTCAATAGCATCAACATATGAGGGCGGATCATAAGATAGATAAAGCTGGGTATCATCAGCATAAGAATGTAAGGCGCAATGTTTGACCGACCGATCCAAGTCCGACACGTATAAAGTAAATAACATTGGTCCTAAAATGGAACCTTGC